ACGGGGGTGACACACAGCGACACTGGGTGAATCCCCCATCCCCGCCCGGCTATGGCTTCCCGCTTCCATTGATCTCCTCCTCCCCACACCCTCCCTTGCCCGGAACTCACACCCACCCGCTGGGGAAACTGAGGCACAGCGGGATGCACCGGGCAGCTCCGTCCCACCCCTCCCTCCCTCCCATCCCATCCCCTCCTACCCCGGCCCGGGCCCGGGGGCCGCGACCCCCCGGCTCCCAGGGATGCTCTCAAGAAAGGCCAGCAATGGTGCGGTTACAAACAGCGGGAATTTTATTTAAAAAAACAACCGTCACAACCGTTCACAGCGTTACAGGCGGGGAGGGGGGGCGGGGGCGGGTTAAACAACCGGTTTTATTTTGGGGGAGGGGGGGAAGAAAGAATTCAGCACGCTACCGTTGAACTTGGTTTTAATGTTTCTCCACAAACGGTGAAAAATACTAAAGTACAGACAAGGAGGACTCATAATGTTGTGGCCAACATTATAAATATGGAATTATAAATTTAAAACATTTTTTTTTCTGGTTTAAAAAATAAATCTGGTAGTAAATGCGGCTCTGGGGGGGCGGCGTTAGTAGGGCCGGTCTCGGCGATCCTGGCGGTGCTCGCCCCTGTAGGCCAGGGGAGGACAGGGGTCAGTCGCGGGGTCGAGGAGCCCTTAACCCCCCACCCAGACACCCCAGGCACCCCTTTACCCACCCCTGCCACTCCCCACCATTCATCGCCTTGCCCTCCTCCAATTTGTCCCACCCCGGTCGTCCCCCACCCTTTCCCCATCAAATGTCCCCTTGTCCCCTCCCATCACTCTCTGCCCCGCCCTCCATCCATACTTGTCCATCTTTCCCGGCCCTCCGCGCCGTCCTCTGCCTCCTCCTCCCATCTGCTCCATGAGGGGTCCCGGGGGTCCCCCGGGGCCGCCGCCTCCTCCTCCTCTCCGGCCGCCTCCTCCGTAGCCGCCTCGGTCCATGCCCCGGCCACCTCGGAATCCCCCTCGGTCTCCGCCGCGGCCGCCTCGGAACATCCCGCCGGGCCCCCCTCGGTCCATGAGGCCCCCGCCGCGCCCGCCTCGCATCCCCCCGGGGCCGCCTCGGCCGCGGTCACCGCCTGGGGAGGAGAGGAGAGAGCCTGGGAGTGACCCAAGGGAGCACATCCCGCTCCGGTGCTCCCGGCCCCGCCATCCCAGCACATCCAGCTCCGGTGTTCCCCACCCCGCCATCCCGCTCTGGCAGAGCAGCAGAAGGGCTGGGAGCTGCTGGGTACCCGAAGGAATTCGGGACTCATTAAGGTCGAAGCAGTGCCCTGGGGAGTCGAGGGTGCTGCTGACAGCCCCTCAAATCCAGGAAGCACAGGAGAAATGGCGATCCCAGTCTCCATGTCATAGCTCACGGAGGGATGAAGGCCTGGCAGCTTCTGGAGCTGGCCCAGCCATTCCCCAAGGAGCCCGAAGCCAGGCCTGGGGTGTCCCGTTGCGAAGTGGGGGCTGTGACTCCCCCAAACGTACCTGGAGGAGGGAAGGGGGGCGGGAGGAACCCCTCCGGTTTGGGTGCCTTGCACTGGTTGCACTCTGTTCTCCAGGCAAAGTTCTGGTTTCCACAGCCCCTGGGTACAAATTCCAGTTAGGCTAGAGTGGGACAGCATTCCAGCTGGGGTGACATTGGGAAGAACGAGCACGTGGAGAGGGGACACAAGGGCAGGATGTGGGGCGCAGCTCCTGCAGCGGGGTGGGTGCCTGGCTGCCCGTTCACCCACAGCCCCCGGCAGTGACCCCGTCCCTCCCTCTGTGCCAGCTGGAAGTGACTTTGGGGAAGGCCTGGCTGCCCTGGCCAGCTGCTGGGATGATGGCCCTTGGCACCGCAGGGTACTCACGGGTTGGGGCACTGCCAGTCCCCGGCGCGGTGCTGGACGCTCCCTCCGGACGGGTTACCCCGGGATCCCCGCGGTCCCCTCGAGGAGAAGCCACCCCTGTCTCCACCTCTTCCCCCCATCCGGCCCATGGGGCCGCTGGGCCCGCTGGGGCCCCCTGGGCCACCGGGTCCCCCTGGACCTGTGGGAAGGAGCCAGTTAGTGCTGGGAGCCACGGGAAGGGTGGGAAGCAGCTCAGGAGGGGCTGCACGGTACCTCCACGGAGGGGTGGGGGCATTCCCCGCTGCTCCCGGGGGGGCATCCCGCCCCTCAGGCTGTTCATCGGGCCCTTCTTCCGTGCCAGAGTCACCTTCAGCTTGCTCCCCTGGAAATCCTTCCCTGGGAGGGACACAATGGCAGGAGAATCAGTGAATCACGGCCTTGCTTCCCACACCTGAAATTTTTGCAATTCCACCCCCAGACGTCCCCCAGCACTCACCATCAAACCATTCCACGGCTGTTTTGGCAGTGGACGGGTCATCGTAGGACACGGTGGCATCGCCCTTGGGCTTGCCCGTTTCCTTGTCGATGTAGAGGTTTATCATGGGCTGCCCCGTCCTCTTGTTCATCTAAGGAACAGTGGGATGTCACCCGAGTCCTGTGTCCCCACAGCTCAGTGGAGATTTACTCTGTTCTGCATCCCAGGGACTCCAGGACTCCAGGACAGAAGAAAGGGGCCCCAGGCCTACCATGGATGACAGCAACAGCCCAGGCACCCCAAAAATGAAGGGACAGGCCCAGAACAGAACTGCCAGGCCTCTCCCAGAGCCTGGACATAATGGACCAGAAGGACGTGAGCAATGGGCAGGGAAAAGGAGAAGGAAGAGGAGGAGGTGGGTGACCCTTCTCAGTCACCGGTGAGTCACTGGTCCCCCTCACCTTTACAACACCACACTGTTTGAAGAAATCTGCCAGATCCTCCAGGGTCACATTATCATTGAGTCCCTGCACATAGACTGCAGTGCTGTCCGAGTCCTCCTCCGGGTCCATAGGGGGGCCTAGGAGACAATTCCCAGGGTCAGTGCAGGCAGAGGAAGGGCAGGGATACCCCAGGGCCGAGCTCTTTCCATCCCGTCATCCCCTCCACAGCTGCAGCTTCGCTCTCTGGGAGTGACAGGAAACCCCAGGCCCAAGGGAGGCGACTGTCCCCCCCCACAACCTCCCCAGTGCCAGGGCCAGACAGAGCCCACACCCACCCACGTGGGAAGAACCCCCAGGTTATTTCAGGACACATCCCAGAGGAAGGATGAGGAAGACCTTCGTGCTCCCTGGGCTCCCACACAAGGACATCCAACCCCCCTTTTCCGATGCTGGAAGGCTGACGGAGAATTTCCAGACATGCCTCCGTGACAGGAAAGGACAAAGCTCTGGGGGTGCTGCAGGCTCCCTGGAAGAGCTCCAGAGCAGCCCCCAACCCCCCTTAGAGAAAGGGGAGCCTCTCCCAACCATGTATGGTTTTCCAGCTGTTTGGGAATGAAGAGATGATGGGAACAGGCAGAAAGCCTGGAAGTGGTGGTGGGTGACACTGCGGTGGCCGCAGCCCTTGGAACGAGGACACAAACGTCTGTTTCACAACCTCAGGAGGGAGTTTGGTGGGAATTACCTAAATCCAGGTCAGGTCCTTCCTCCATGTGTCCTGCCAGGCGGGAGAGAAGCATAGGGAAGGGTGTTAGTGGGGGTCCTGCGGGCTGGAGAACCGACACACACAACACTAGCTACAACCTGCGCCGCACAAGCAGCGCCACTGCACCTTACTGGGCCATCAGGTGGCTCTTTTAGCACTTCTTCCAACCAAAAACCACTATCACACTGGTTTTAAGCATTTTTTTCCAACCAATAACCACTATTACACTGATATTTTTTTAGCAGCTTTCAAACCGTTAACCACTATTACACTGATTTTTTTTTTTAGCAGTTTTCAAACCACTATTAACGCTGATTTTTTAAAAGGTTTTACCAAGCCAATCAGTTTGTAAGCTCATTAATAAAAGTTACTTAATATATCTATATCTCTATATATATATATATATAAAAGATTTATTACATCCAAAGCATTTCTTTTTCCCCAAAATTACAGGATTGGTTGCTCAACTCTTCCACTGTGTCCGCATACCCCTGGGCATCGCCGGCAGTACCCATTACAGTCTGGTTGCATATTGTCATTTTTGCATATTGTCATTTTTTAAACCACTTAAACGAATAAAAAAATTACACTTCGTGCTAAAAAAAAAAAACTGACTGCAATTTTTTTTTTTTTTTTTTTTAACACTATCCATTGTAATGCTCAAAAACTTACCACCAGGCTTATTGAAGCCACCTCGCTCTCCAGCGCTGCTGGGGGGATAAACGAAGAAATGAAGGCCTTTCCCTTTACAAAGCCAGCACCGCTCTGAGCCTCTGCGGCTCACAGGGGAGAAGGGCACTGGCTAAACATCTCCAAACATCTCTCTGTCTCTCTCTCATCTCGGCACTAGGCCTTTCTTCAGGGCAGCTCGCTCAAATTTTCTTTACATATAAAGCAACCTTGGTGTGGTTTGAGGCACCGCTTTGCTGTCGGTGCCCTGGCGTTACTCAGGTATCATCAGTGCAATACTTGACCGAGAAACGGGGATTGTTTGTAATCAGAGTGAGGGTTTTTTTGTTGTTGTTGAAGAGCAA